GGGGGGGATACCCATTCAGAAGGAGCATCCGGGGAGGGGAGGGAGGGGGGATGTACCAGTAAGACGGCCTCCCCACCAGTAGGCCTCCAGTTCTTAATCCTATCTGATACCATCCATACATATATCTATGTATACTCGGAGCATGGAGAGCAATTAATCTCACGTGTCATTAGACAACAAGAATTAATTTCCTTAATGTGATTGGTGAAATATTCGGGTGAAAAGATTCCTATGAACGTCTAGTTTGTCTAAAATGGATTTTAAAAATATTACCAAGAACATCTCCGATTTATTAATATTCAAAACGGTTCTGAATAATATTTTTACAGAGGTATGTTACAACACCTACTGTAGGAAAATTAAGTTTTGAAAGTCAATGGAGCACTCATACCGTAATGGCGAATCGTTTCTTACTATTTTTTGTCTATGCATGCTAAAGAAAATCCGCCGAATTTAGAGTAAAAAATACCTTATAATAATACAGGAGGCAAAATTAAATAAATAACAAAAAGAAGTTGAACTACGTAGACTAAGTTGGATTACGTAGACTAAGTTGAACTACGTAGACCGTAGACTAAGTTGAACTACGTAGACTAAGGTAAATTACGTAGAATAAGTTGAACTACGTAGACTAAGTTGAATTACGTAAACTAAGTTGAACTGTGTAGACTAAGTTGAATTACGTAGACTAAGTTGAACTACGTAGACTAAGTTGAATAACGTAGACTAAGTTAAATTACGTAGACTAAGTTGAACTACGTAGACTAAGTTGAACTACGTAGACTAAGTTGAACTACGTAGACTAAGTTGAACTATTACGTAGACTAAGTTGAACTACGTAGACTAAGTTGAACTACGTAGACTAAGTTGAACTATGTAGACTAAGTTGAACTATGTAGACAAAGTTGAACTATGTAGACTAAGTTGAACTATGTAGACAAAGTTAAACTACTTGAATCAGCGCAGAAGAGAAGCTCAACTTCTTCTCGCTTTTTATCAAATTTAGTCTCAGCACATAAAAAATTATTCATTTTATTATTTTATAATATTTCATGCTTTGATGAAATTACTTTTATCCTTCTAGGTGACTAATATACATGAATCCTGTTAAACTTATAAAAAATCAAAATCAAATATAGAGTTGGTATCCCTTAAGGGGAACTTTATTGTGATAAATTGAAATGAAAAGTTAACAACTTTTTTAAAGCTTTGTAATACGAGAAAATGCGAACTTTTATTTTTTTATTTTGTTAAAATCTTGTGTGCGTTGAAAAATTTGAATGATAATTTGAATGAACTTGAATGTTCTTAACAATTCCACATTTTTAATTTTATAAACAATCAAATTAAGAATACTTGGATTGCGTACGAAAACTGTTTCGTAAAGATGTTGAAAGATTGAATAAGTTGAATACTGTTCATGCGTACAAATTATATTTCATCGCTTCATAATTTCAAGAATTTGACGCCTGAAATGGAACACCTGGTTTACGCTTTTGTTCTCAGGTTTTCTGAAATAATAAAATGAATAAAATTAAATCACTGAACCTTATCCATTCTTTCATTTTAAACATTTTTCTCAACTTCTTCTTCTTGTTCTCTCTCATTTTTCATATTTCCCCCATTTTCTTCTTCGTATTTCTTTAATTTTTATTTTACCTGCCTGTTTGATTTACTTTCTCTTACTTTTTTCAGTTTCTAACTAATTTCCCCATTTTTATTAATTTTCCTTTCTTGCCGTTTTTTAATATACTTAATACAATTAGAACGGAACCGAGTTTTTGCCCCAAATGAACCTTTGAAAAGTCAAGTATAGACTATTTTATCTATCAGAATTCATAGTTCATAGTTTGAATTTGAATTCTCTAATTTCTCCCCTTCAGCTATTTATTTCTTTGATAATACAATTTTGATGAAAAAATATTTAATTATCATCATTAGATGTAGATTTGATAAATATGTGGAAAATCTTATATTTATTACACAATTTACCAAATGTTTATTAAACTCAGACCAAAGTAATCTTAAAGGAACTGTATACGTAACTTTAAAGGACCCTCCGTTTAAAGAGTAGCATATCCGATTCCCAACAGTACACATAGATTCAGCCTACTTTGAAAAGTACCATAATTTCTAAGACCGCGTCAATTTTGACACTGTAATTCACTTATGATTTTTTGTAATTCAGCAGTTGTCTTTTAGAGAGTTGTCTTTTATACTTTTAAACCTATCCAAGTAGATTGATGGGTCAATAATACCTACGTCTGTACTGTTCATTTGAAAAATAATAATAAACAATACTACAGCCAGTGATTATATACAATGGTAGTCCAAACCTATCCAAGTGATCCAGTAGAAAATGTCTCTATATAAACCTTGCCAACCAAATACAAAAGACAAGATACTGCAAACAGTATTAGCAGGGAGGGGAGGG